ATGCCGGAGTCGCGGACACCGGCTTCGGCCTTTGGCGGTAGCTTGACGACTCGGCAACTAAATCTGACAAAACAACCTCACCTTAGGCACACACTTAAATGCAGATATACCAAGGCCGGGAATTGCTTATCGAGGTGTTTTTGCTGAAACCGTTTGACCAGCCCCCGCTTGGCTTCAACTTCATAGGCAGCCGACAGAAAATGGTCAGTCTCCAAATGGCACTAGTTCTTGCGCATCGTGTGATGCGAGCGAGTTATTCTGTTTATTTGCGCAGGCAGCATGTGACTGCATTACAACTTACAACAAAGCAATTGCTCATATAACATGGAGGGGCGTTGAACGAGTCTGGTTGCAAACATGTTGGTGCATATTCTCTGCAAATAGTCAACGCTTGTTGAGGTGGGCTCTCGATTCTCCGAAACCTTGATTGAATCAGGTTCCATGTTGGCTTGGGTGTTTCCCAAATTCATGGGAAGCACGTTTCAGGTAAATGCATGCGGCAGCTTTTTTGGCTTGAGCTGGGGTTTGGCCGCTGGATCGAAAAGCTGGACCGAGCTGGAACCGAGGCCGGGGTGGTTGTTTTTTAGGGATTTGGAGGGTACCCTTTGCGAAAACCGCAATTTCGGGGGGGCTGTCTTTGACAAGCCAATCATCTTTGGGGGCATCCAAAATTGCACCCGTTCCAACCACGCGGCCCCTTTCCCAGAGCCCGCAGGGCACGGTTTGTGTTGGAGGTCCGGATGGTACCCATTTTGAGGTTGGTTAACAGGGAAGCCGAAGGGAAACGGACACCCGTGTTGCTTTCGTTGGGGGTGCGGGGTCCTGATTTGTGCCATGGTCATGAGACCCTTGCATGGTCTAGATTCTGCATTTGTGATGTAAGCATGTTGGGTTGATCACCCTAGGAACAGTTTCCGTGCTCCGTTCTCGTGGCACATCTCAAAATGGGTGGACCCCAATACTGGTTTCCGTTTTGGTTTCCTATTAAACCAAGGTAAAAAAAGGTCCCCTCAAGAAACACACCCGTGGTTGTTCAAGCCCCATGTTGCAGGTAACCCTCTTCTTGGTGGTTTAGGGATTACCCAGAGTTTGACCCGTTCGTCTTCGTAGCCAGATGAGAATATAGGTGATGATGTTTCAGCCGCAGCCGATGTCCCAGCCTCAGCCTTTCGTCATTTGCGCGCCACCCCCCCCCGTTTTTGGTTGCTGGGTTGAAGGAAGCCAAGAGAATCAAATGGCCATGGCCCCCCAAATGACTATGGCGGGCTTTTCCCAGTTAGCGGGAAGCTTTTTTCTCTTTTTTTGGCCTTCCCCGTGGTCATCCTTATGTAAGGGACCTTTTGATCAACCCGCACATTGTAAGTTCCTTTTTGCGAGGTGTGGACACATCGCCTTTTGGGCCATTGAAAGAGTTTCCCGAGCCCCGGTCTTGGCGCGAAGAAGTCCGTGAGGATCGTTGGAGTGGTGACCGTCGGATTCCACCAAGGACGGGCTGCGAATCGAAAGACAAAAGGGCTCCAGCTGAAAGCTTTGGATTTGGTTGGTAGGCCCAGATATTGGGGCAGGTTCCAGGTGGTTGAGACAGAAAAGGGTCTAGCGGAAACGTTTTGAACTACCTTCAGCATTGGGCTTTTGCTTGCATAAAGGAGTTGTGCCGGGATGCTACAAGCGAAATTCACTTTCATTCGGGGGGGGGGGGGGCAAGCGGATTGGATGGCAGGCAGCTTCATGCCGACGTGGAATCTCCAAGGACTGAGTGTGCCTTCTTTTCCTAGAGATGCTTGTGCCCAAGGGAAACCGGCCATGCCCACCGAAATAAGTACTGGAAGCCCAGTTGACCAGTTTCCCTTCATGAACTAGGTCCCCCAGTAGTGCCCTTCTCTCCCCTTTTTTGGGGGAGGGTTCCCCTACTAAAATAGACAAAACCGAAAAAAGTTGGTACCCTTATTCCAACCTCTCAAATCTGGAGGACCTAGTGAATACCAGCGAAACTACGGAAACCCACCAGGTGGCTTAACCCACCAGGCTGGAAGTAGACACATCCTTTTCTCTCGGCAGGAAGGATGAACCCAATCTGGCAGGGGATGGTGCCGTATGTTCACCCGCTAGACCAACGACAAGACCAACGACAATTGTAGACAAAAGAATAGGCTGTCTAAAAACGATTTTTACTCGCAACATATATAGGTGTTCTGACCACCTGAGAGTCCGGTGTGCCAGCAATGCGCTGGGAAACCTTCTCGATGGAAAACAGCATGTCCAGGCTGACAACCGGTAGACAAGCGCCGGTTGCTTCAGAAGACCATTTGTAGACTTACCGGGCCAAGCTTGCCCAGACTGCGCGCATGTCAAGATTGACGCTTTGCAGATAAGCATGTTGTGGATCGTCTTTAGCCGTTGAACGCAGGAGATTGGCAAGGCCAGCGCGGCCTTATGGAACCAGGAGAGATGTGTCATGGGGTCTGCAAAGTCGGGCTCTGGACATGTCAGGGGTTTTCTTATGAAGTTTGTAAGGGGGGAGGTAGGTACAAGGTTGGTTTGTAGTTGAATGGGTTGTGGGTGTTCGGGTTTTTAGGGTTTTTGTTAGGGAGCCGTGAGAAACCCGCCCCCCCCTTGGACCCCCCCCCCGTCGGGATTCCACAATTTGCGGAGGGTTCGGGGGTTGGAGCGGTGGCATGGGGTTCCAGGCACAGGTTGCGGGGCTCCAATGGATGTTCAAAAAAAGCTCCAAAAGCTCCGAAGTTGTTTTTTTTGTTAGGAGAGTTGTCCTTAGGTCTTCATTGAGTTTTAGTTCGTTTTGGCAGTAGTTCCTTGGACAAGTTGCTTCAAAGCCATGTTTCTCCATCTCAGCCCAAGGGAGCGGCGCCCAAAAGCTTTTTGCGGGGCCATCATGTGAGTGGCTGGTTCTACTATCTGGCTTAGATACACGAAAGTATAACCATGATGGAACCAAACGCCAATAGGTGTTGGTCGCTTCCCGATTTTCTCTGCTTGAGTATTTTTCTTCCATTGGTTCAGGGTTCCGGAAAAGCTCCGGAGGTGTTGGATCCTGATTCTGAGGCTCATCCGTGGCGTGTCTTGTTTTTGTCCAACAGGGAATTCCAGAGAAACCTCAAATGGAGTCGCAACCATTTTGGGCGTCTAACCACCACCAAACCACCGATTCGGATCCAAACCAATTACTTGCTGATGCTCAGCAGGGAATGTGGGAATGATCCCAGGAATTCCCTTAAAGGAAACCACCAGTTGGATGCTTTTTCTTGGTCATTCCATTTCTCATTCCCTGCATCTCTCGCACCAACAAGATTAGGGTTGCTTTGGCCAGAAATAGATGGTCCACTGGTTTAGATTGGTTTTATGCCATCCATGTACCAGAGAAACCCAGGAAAGCTGAGAGGTGGTTTCCCTTGGACGTTTGAACACGCGCCGCAAACATGAGCTGTCCTTGGCCTCAGGAGAAGCGGATGGCGCAAGTTGCCAAGGCGAGAATTCGACGGGTGCGTCTGCGCAGACGCAGCGGTGCTGGGAAGGTAGAAGTTGATGACCAATCGTCTGAAGAAAGGAGAGAGGGAGAGAGAGAGAGAGAGCGATTGAGAGAGCGAGAGAGAGAGCGAGAGAGAGTGAGAAAGGGAAAGAGAGAGAGAGAAAGAGAGCGATTGAGAGAGAGAGCCAGGACACTTTGACATGGTTGGTGGTTCCATAAATCCAAGTAAATGATGTCCACAAACAACACCCGAGTTAAACATCACACCCCTATCTTGGTGGGTAAGTCAGTTGACACAGCTTGCAGGACAAGTGCGGCCAGTTCAAGTCCGGGGCAGCATTCCCCAAACAGGAGAGCAACCTTTTGCATCATCTTACCTTTGCTGTCGTCCTCCGCAATGATGGGGCCTGGGGGGGAGGGGAGGGAGAGCCAAGGCTAGAACGTTGCCTCCCTCCGCAAATGGGTGTTCAGTAAGAGGCATACTCGAGCAGGGATGGTTTCCTGGCCCTGAAAAAAACAACCAAAAGGAGATGCTCATTCTTCAGACCTGCAATGCTTTCGAAATTGGGGAGAGCCAATGGTGTTTGTTTCAAAATCCGGGACCCCCCTCAACAACATATATATGCGCGGTTTCCTTTTTGGATTCCCTTTATATAAAAGGTAAGCAACAGGGGTAGCCTCAAGATCCATGGACCCCAGAAATCCGCAGGTTCACAGCGGTATCGGCGTCCATGGGCGTCCTTAGGTGAGTTTGATTAGAAGGGGATGGCTTTGTGGTGGGTGCCAAGGACCGAGGGCGTTGCTGGCGAGGTCTTTTCTTGCTGATAGGTACGGAATGATTTTAAACACTAGTCCAATTCTCATTCCCTGCCTATCGCACCGGCAAGTTAGGTTGGTTTGGTCGGAAATAGATGGCTTCCACTGGTTTACATGGGGTTTAGATTCAAGTGAGACTCCTCCAAGAGAAGTACAATGGGAGTTCGGCAAGTGACACCGGCGCCTTGCAGAGAGCGGAACGTGTCGCATTTTTGGGCGGCGACAAAATGATGACCTGTTTCCTTTGAAAGGTGGCACTACCCTGTGGTTGGGCAACCAAAAGCAAGGCGTTGCCATTTTGGGGGTAGAGTTCCACATATGGGTGTGTCCTTTTTCAGGTTGGACCCACTAAAATGGTGGTTGTGCTGTTGGTTTAACAAACATGGGCTACCCTCAAACAAAGACCCCCCCCAAACATTTCGAGACAAACCCATGTGCCTTTGGGCAGTTTGCCGTCTCCGAAGCAGCCAAACCCCTCAGGCGGACTTGCGCTGATCGAGCAAGGAAAGCGTGCGCAGGCGGGGAAGAGCCGAAAAGACACCAATCTCAGGGTTCCCTATATTTCCCCCTTTGATGGCTTGAAACATCACCTTTTGGGCCCAAGTTCACATGTCCCCTTCAAACATCACAGGAAACTTAGATTAGTCTGGCCTCCAACTTTGGGGAAATATAGGCAGCCCTGTTTACCCTCGAACCTGACATGCAGGTGGCGTGAGAACCCACAAAATCGCGGAGATGGTGTTGGTTGCTGTTTCTACGACTTTTGAGCAGCCACACTGAAGGCCCCGCTTCCAATGGTAGTGGGGGAGGGGCCTCCAAAGGTCGCGGATTTTGGATCCGTTAATTGGGAGAGTATGAAGCATCAAATTGAACCGATATTCTTTTGAAGACATGGGGCAACATTTGAGCCCCCCCAAGCACTCCTTTTGAACATCAGATTTGTTTGGGATCCTTTCCAATTCCAGAGATTCCTGTGAAACTCGTGGTTTTGGATTCCACGTTTGCAGGAAGTTAAACCACAAAGTGGCCCAGAGTTGCTCATGACATCGTCAGTTCATCTGGAATTATACAAGCAAACGAGCATTGATATCGTCTGTCCATTGCTGTGTTTGCAAAACGCGTCACGTAAAGCGACGTGAGGCAAAGCCTTTTCGGGCTCATCAGGTACACCGGTACATGCCTACCTCCGCTATGGTTACCACGCGCCCACGTTGAGCCCAATTCCCTATGTGGTGGTGTTTTTTGAGCAGAAGGGCGCCCTTGCAGGTAGGTGCCATAGCAAAACCCAAAGGACCGCGAATCATTCTGTACTTTGATACCCTCCCCACATGGCACCTAGCCCGGTTTGTCCAACAAAGAACTGAGCTTAGGCGCCGTGTGAATTGGGAGGGTAGCCATCTTAGTCCAAGCTCTGGGAGTCAGCCACATTTCTCTCGCAGGAAGAGGGCGTGAGGCGCCTTCAACAGAAGCTGCTACCCGCCTTGGCCAGCCAAGGAGCTGAGGGAGGTGGCTCTTGCAGACGCCGCCCGGTTTGCTTTAAAAGCAAAATGGCTGCTCAGAAAATCGGAATACCAAAATGGCTTGCCCTGGTAAGTGGAAACATGAACCAACACCTGCGGTTTGCCCCTCCGATCGTTTAATTCTGAGCCACACCCAAATGAGGAAACCAGCAGGACCCCAACCGTTTGCTCGAAATTGACGGCAAGCCCGTGGTGCTTCAACAAAAAGAGACACCGGGAATGAAGCTTGGAGGTGGCCCCACCATAATACCCACGCCGCGTCTCTAAAGCGACCCCCCCAATCAAAAGGTTCACGGTGTTTTCGCCTTGAAAGCAACTGCGACCTGGGTTACCCAAGAAGACATATCCACAGTTGGGGGACATTTGTGTTGTTGCTTGCTGACAGAGGCCTCAACTCTTCGAAATGGTGTAAGACGAACAGAAAGGATGCACACGGCCCATTGAAGGTTTCATTCGATGTTGTTTTCTTTGGTGATGGCATCTCAATCTCGGCGCTGCCTCCAGGGTGAGGGAGGGGAGAGGGGAGGGGGGGAGGGGGCAGGCGCCTTCTCACCGCAGATGTCAGCGCAGGAGCGAAGAAGGCCGCAATAAAGGCGAGAGATGTGGTGTCCATCTCCCTCTGGGTACAGCGGCCTCCCAGCTGCACCAAGGCGTGTGCTGTGAAGGCATATTTGAGCACTCCACCTGGGTGTGTCCTATTTGACACCACACACACACACACCCAGAAGCCCATTTGGGTTGCTTGGCTGACTGGGACATTGATCTCGAAGGGTGCAGGCTGTTGCCCCAAGAGACTCAGTCAGGATTTCAGCACTTTGGGTAGGCCGCGGTGCCTATTCCTCAAAAGGACTCCTTTTCTCACTTGGGCACATGCCCAGGATTCCAATTGCCAGAGAAGCTCTCAACTAAACCACCCGAAAAGGATTCCCGTTTCTCCACATGTGCCGTGGTCAAAAGACCGGTTCCTTTACTTGGGGTCAGGGAATGATTCTCAACCATTGTAATGATTCTTTAAGGGGCCAAGCTGCCATGGCTCACATGGCCATGTCCACCGGGGCCCTAGAGGCTTTCTGTAGCACGATTTTCTGCCTGGTTCCCTTTGAAACAACCCCCAAAAAGATACCCAAGCAACAAGTCGATACACTTTGCTCTTGGTCACACAACTCCAACGCTTGCCATTTGGCCACGAACTCGAATACGGAGCCGCCTCAAATGTGCTTGGTGGACATGAACCCCCAAATGCTGTCCGCATATGTCCAAGGCCCGCATCCAGTCTGTTTGTTAGGGCACCCACTTCTTGGAGAAACGGGAATCCTTTCCGGGTGGTTTAGTTGAAAGCTTCTCTGGCAATTGGAATCCTGGGCATGTGCCCAAGTGAGAAAAGGATCCGTCGTCCGGCGTCCTTTTGAGGAATAGGTACCGCGGCACATGTGCTTAAAGCATTTGGCCCAAAAAGGGCACCTTGTGTCTAAGGCCCAGAGCCGTGGAGATGGCTCTGAAGTTCAAGGAGAAGGACAAGGTGCTGGGCCTGGATGGAGGAAAGCAGCAGAACTCCCAGGTCATCAGCTCCTTGCCGAAGGCCGAAGCTGGATCGCTGGATCGGATGCCCTTTTCGCGGGGGAAGTTCCGGAACCCGGGCGGATGGTGGGAAAGTTGGGGCCCCAGTAGTGCCCTTCTCTCCCGTTTTTTTGGGGGAGGGTTCGCCTACTAATAAAGGGTACCCTTATAGGACCTAGAAAAGAAGGGGCGGTTCGGGGCTTCAAAGTTGCAATGCGAAGGGTCGTGCCAACGGACCCCTTCAGCCAGGGTTGGCCGGAACTTGCCGCCAGGCCTTGCGTCGGCTGTTGGAGGATGCTTGGCTGCACGTTCTGCCTCTCGAGTGGGAGAAATGCTGGGCTTGTCCTTGGCCACGAAGGTTTTTTGGCCTTTCCTTCAGATCGGCTTGGGCTACAGCTTGTAGAGTCCGAGGAAGGACAGCAGCTTTTTTGGCTGCGGAAGGCCAGCAGCCCCGCAGGGCAGGGGGCTTCCGAGTAAGGCACCCGAGGAGGTGTCGGACGTGAGCGAGGCCAGACCTTCGAGGTTCCGTTCGGCGAGCAATGGAGGTGGTTTCGTCTTTTGAGGCTCAGTACCCTGTTGTGTTTGTTATTTTGAAAGGTTGTGTCGTTTGTTTTTGCTCTTTTTTTTGGAGGGGGGGCCAAGGAAACCATCCATGTTTGCTGGGCCCATTTTGAGACGAACTCGAAGACGAGTTGGGTTTGGGTTTTTCGGAAGCCCGGATGATGAAACCTCTGTCTGATCTTGTTGGGTGTGAGGGCGTGTCCTTATATTTTCTTTTGGGTCTCTGCGCTACCTTTGGGCTATTTGATCGAGGACTTGAGGTTCGGGGATGGTTTTCGGACCAAGTTTCCGAACTTCCGGCAACTCGGACCAAGTGGTGTCGGTTTCCTTTTGGCGCCTTTAGCAAGACCTCCAAAGGTTCGGGGAAGACCCGGACGCGCTCGCTCGCAGGTGAGCGAGTCTTTCAAGAAAGAGATTCATCATTTTCGTGGAAAGATGATGGAGGCATTCAGGATTTTCGCCGACGCAATGCAGCGGGAGCCGGGCCTCTTGGTGGCAGTTGAGCTGCGCCAGGCTTGACGGGCCCTCTTACCCAGTTGCCCCTTTCTCCCCCTTTTTTGGGAGTTTTGTTTTTTCCCTTTGAAGGCGACCAACCAAACAACTCGGATGCCTTTTGTTTTTCCCCCATGAAATTCCACCGGGCATCTGAGAACTTTTGCTTACACCCTAAAAATTGGTCTTTCCTTTTTGAAGAAACCATATTTTTAGTAGGTTCTGAATGGGTTCATTGGGTTTTTCATGGCCAAATGGTAGGTTTTAAAGGGACACCCACTTGGCGGTGCGCACAGCCGAGATGCGGCGGAGACGAGGGAGCTTTGCGATCGCATGGCGAGGCTGTGCCTGTTGCTCAGGCGCCCGATGTGTCGCTGGGTTGACGTACCGGGCCGAGTGCTCGTCCGCGAGTTGGTTCCCTTTTCAGTTGGTTTGCATTAACAAATATAGAGGGCGATTCCTGGTAAACAGCTGGTTCAAACAGCTACCAAGGCCATCTGTTTTTCAACAAGGACGCCTATGGAAGTCCCGGTGGTCCGGTGTCGGTGGCTACTTCAAAGGAACGACCCATACTGATGGCCCGGACTTGTCAACCTGAATTAGGGGGGTGCTGCTCCAAAGGTGAAGGATTCCTAAGGGACGCAGGGGCGCCCTTCGTCCGGTTCCCATTTGGTCAGGAATTCCGGCCACTCTGGATCCCTATGCATCTGAACCAACCATATCCAATCACATCCAACCACACAACCTTTGCAGATTGCGTTAAATTACGATATTACAGGGTGTCGAACTTGTTTCCCCTTGCGTGAAGCGGATTCCAAGATGTTGGTGCGACCCCCGGAAATGAGTGGTTGTTTGGGCTCCCCTTAACAAATCCAACAGACGTTGTGATTTTTGCCAGGCCGAGCGAGACGATTGACGCAGAGGAGGCGCCAGCCAACAGCCCCGAACTCCCGGACCCCCCGATTCTTTCGCTCGGGAAGGCCTCAAAAGCGCCCGTTGAAGCAGGGGGTTGAAGTAGATTGACCCAGTTGACGGTGGCATACACCAAAGGGCCCCAATGTGAGTTCCAGGCCCGAAGAGAAAACTGTTTGAGGCGTTTGTTCCGAAGTACCGAAATGGAAACAAAACAAGTTACTGCGGTTGTGAATCCTCAGAATGGATGTTTGAAGACAAATCAACAACCAATTCCATTTAGCCTCATTTGTCGAGCGGTTCTTTAATCCAACTGACTGCCAAGGGGGGCGCTTCCCCGCTGAATCTCTAGAAATGCTCACTTTCTGAATTCCTGGACTTGAGTCACTTTTTGGGAAGACCAACTTAGTGGCCAACAAAAAGTTCAGACTCTTTTGGCCAATCCACTCGATGGGAAGTGAGAATTGGACCTATGAATCAACCAGACGAATCCTGGGCAAGACTGAACCGGAAGGCATGGCGCAGCCTCAAGTTGATGAAGTCAACTGCGACTTCAGAAAATGGGTGGGTCGTTTTTGGTTGGAGTTGGGGCTCCGTTTTGGTGGTGTGAAAGGGAATGCACAAGGAAAGCCACCATTGTTGCTTTTTTTGGGGGGTTCCCTACAAGAAGACACACCTGTATTGACGGTGGCTTGCATTCCCTCACAAGCAAGAACCCGACTATTTGTATTGGAGAAGCCAAAAGGCAGTGGGGTTCAAAGTAAGGAAACAAGGGGGAACTCTAAGAGCAAGAGAGGTCCCGGCCATTGATCAGGGGTCGAGCAAGCAAGAACTGGGGCGTCCTGAGAGTTGATTTGGCGGATTGTAAGCACTAGGATATGTTTTGATATTTTCGGGATTCTTGGAGGATCTATTTTTGCGGGTTTCTTTTTGGCAGGGTGAAGCTGCTGAAAGGGCGGATAAGGAACCCAGCCAAACCTTCTTAACAATGCCCACGGTTTCATCCTTTGTCAAACTCTCATAAGGCATTCCTTGAGACTTATTGAAGAAGCGCATGCTCTGGCAACGGGGGAGTTTTACTCCACGCCTTCTGGAAGGAATCCAAACCTGGCAAACTGCAAAGGCATCGTTGCAAAACGACTCTAGTCGTCAGGATCCAAGCGGCAGGTTGCAATTGCTCATCCGTTAAATGGGCAATGTTTGGTCAGAGGGCAAAAGGTCAAAGGATTCAGATGGTTTCTGCTTTGTTATTCGTTTGATAAATGTATTATATATATACACATACAAACAACACCTTTCGGGTTGGATCTATAGACATATATATATATATACATTTGATTACAAGCAACAGTTGTAGGATTTCCCTTCCGAAGCTTTTGCCGCTGTGCTTTTTCTATTTTCCGCCAGAGCGGCGCCGCTTGATCAATTCCTCGCCTTCCGAGCCGAAGTCGGCCAGGGAAGGAAGGAGAGGCTGAAAGGCTTCTTGGGCCAAATGGGCCTCAAAGGCCCCGCGATGCGCCGGACTCAGGGTGTGTGCAGCGAGTAAGGGCTGTGTTCGTGTCCGAAGGGATTAGTCTCATGAATGCTCTCTCCACATTCTAGCAACAATTATAGCCCACCTATCTTTTGCAATCCCCTCATGGTGGGTCACTTGTCGCTGTCCTTGCGTTGAGTCTACCAATCACACCCGGGTGGATGTGCTCGTGCTGAAACCGAGCTCTTTGGTCTGAGTTGAGCAAAACAGAAAAAACAACTACTCTGCCACAAGGGTTTCACAAATCCATTCCAAGAATCGGCGGATGTGGTTTTCTTCCCGCCCCACGGTTGAACCCGCTTTCTTCCCTTGTTTCAACCGCTTCAAATCAGAGTTTTTCTTTTCACTGTTTGAACCACCTGTCACATTCCCAAGACATCCTTCTTTAAACCGACTGTAGAGGAGTTTCCTTTGGTGGGCTAGGAGACATATGGTGTGTGTCTCAACATTAGAGGATTCATTAAATGTGGTCGGCTTCCTCTTTGTTTTCCTTCACCATTTTAACAGCAGTTCCTCTATGTTGAGACAAGCCCCTATGTTTTCACGCTGGACACCGCTCAGGGGCCGCATGTTGACGCACTTTAAGTGCCATCTGAGCACTAGTCGGCGCTTGCTGCAAGAGGCGCTACAGGCTGGGAGGTTTCGCTTGGGGGGGCCTTCGGCATCCTTGGGCCGAAGTTCGCAGATGGATGCAAATGTGTTTGCTTCTTTCTTTTGTTTGCCAGCCACCTATCTTTCCACCTGTTCCAGCTTTGAGCTGTGCGCAAGAAGCATTTGAGAGCGGTCCACTCCGTGACAAACAAATCTGCGGCCCGGCGGCTCCAGGAGCACGAAGGGACGAAGAAGCCACAGGCACGGCACGTGTAGTTATGCTGAAAGCTGAATGGTCCGAAGCCTCTCCGAAACTCGTCCCTTCCGCACACCTGCCGCTTCCTTCCAACCGTTGTTCTGAAAATCTCTGCTTCGCTGGGGCGCCCCTGCTTGCGGTTGCGGGCCTTCTGCAGGGCATGTTTTCGGTGGGATCGATCGGATTCGGCAGGCGAAGAACAAGAAGGGAGGAGCGACGGTGGTTGGCAGCTTAGGATGCTGAAACCTGGCGTGGGACCCTCAACTGGCGGTTGTTCAGCAAGGAGGCCCTTTGTTCAGGAAGGAGGCGTTGCTGAAAAATCTGGATTGTTGTTTGGGGGGGATGTTGGACTTGTTGATTTTGAAACCTTCTAAAAAGGGCAGTCGAGTCTATGGCATCGGGAGGGAGTTGAGGGGTTGATGATGTAAGGCCTTTTGTCCGGTGAAGCAAGCTGTTGACTCCCAGCAGAAAGACATCTCGATGTTTGTTGCGGTTTGGCCGCCTGCTCCACAAACGTGTTTTTGCGTTCCTGGTTGTTTGTTTCTGCCATGCCGTGCTTTTTTGCCTCAGAAGCAGCAGGCGGGCAGTTGTTCAAGACCAGCAGATTCTAAGTATCGGTGAGCAGGCTTGGGCAGAGTTGTGTCTGAGCAATTTGGGCAGGTTGGTCTATTGGTTTCTTAGATTCGTGCAAGCCGTTCGAGGCTTTTGTTTAGACGTTTCCCATCCAAGATGCAGATGCCAGTGCTGTGCTTCGTCTTTGGCTTTGCTTTGTCCTTGGCGAAAGGCCATTGAGAGGCAGCGTTGTTACAGGAAAATTGCCGGCGCACCCCCCTTTCCTGGGCGCGCGTTTGGCTTTTCCAAACCAACCCAAAATAAGTTCCCTCGAAGACCATTATTGATGGAGTTTGGAGCTAACTGGCCTATGGTAGGAAGCCTTGGCCTTTTGACCGGGTTCCGGTTCCCCTGAAAGCGCTGCGGCTCCCCTTCATCAGCGGAACAACCCCCTTCTGAAACCGGTGGAAAGAAAGACTAAAACCCTGCGGTTGGCCCTAGCCTATCATTTTGAGCCATATGGGTATGCGTCAAAATGAAAGCACCAAAAACTGGACCGCAGGTTTTGGTCCTTGCCATTTACCCAGGGCAAGCGGCAAGCGCTTTTCGATTCGGGCGCCGTGAGGTGACGGAGGCCCCCGCGCCCTCGCCAACAGCTGGGGATCCAAGGGCGGCTCCGGTGGTCGCGCCGCTCCGGTGAGCGTGCGGGCGTGGCTCCGTGTTTTTTTTGGGGGAACCTCTTTGGGGCTTTCAAGGGAAGCCAAACGGAAAGCAGCCAATTTGTGGGGTCGCCTAAAAATAGACACACCCAGATATGTGCTCAGCTGATCCCTTTTCTTGCCAGTGAACATTTGTGATTTGTCATTGAGTGGCATGTGCGGGAAGAATTCGCTCAAAGACAGTGAACATCACAAGTCAGATTGTTACACCCCAATTGAACCTGACCAACCTGACTCTCAGAAAAAGTAGCGTCTGGTGGGCCAGGGCTGGTGGGAGTACGTCTTGGTATCTTTGGCACGACTCAGTTTTGGACAGGGTCCCAGAACGGGTACCTTGTGTTGACCGCCCATTTGGCCCCCATTTCTTGCGTTGGAACTTTGGGCAACATGTGTTTGAAGAACTTGATCTTGATAGGTTCTGTAACTTGCTGGTGCTCAGTAGGGAATGAACCCAGGGTCCCCTTCAAGGAAACCACAAGGGATGGTTTGCAGGGGTCCTTCCCTCATTCCCGACCGAGCACAAGCAAGTTGAGTAATGGATGTTGGCCCGATCGCCCAGGTTCAGGTAAAGATCGAAAAGACCTTTTATCACTTCGAGACAAGTGAGGCCACGCTCGTTGGTGCAGACGCGATGTGGACCCACATGTACAGGGAAGCCCCTATATGGGTCTGTCCTTCGCTGAGGATACCGTTTTTTGGGATTGGCTTGAATTGTGAGCTACGCGTTCCGGTTGCCAAGAACCCACCTACGATTTTGGAGATATTTAAGCAACTAAGTAGAGAACAAGGGAAACCATTTGATCCAACATGTTACGGTAGTCTGAGTAACTGCTGGCAATATTGGGTAAGACGCTTGTATTCTTTTGCAACTTCCTGTTCAGACCTTGGTCCACGGAGTGACCAAAACTCTACGTTCAAGGGCTGATGGCCTTTCTGCTGAACCAAAGCGCTGAATGTCAGGGGCTGCGCGCGCCAGGTTTCCCACTGGCGGCGTGAGCATTTTAATGCTGCCATAGCATCCGATTTCTGGACTACATAGGTTCTGGATGCCCCGGTTGGTTTCTCCCCCTTGAGTGCAAGAGGGCTTACATATGCTTCAAAGCAGGTGCGTGTGTGTGTGTGTGGGTGGGTGGGTGGGGGTGGGGGCATGGAAAAGAGGGGGTTTAAAGGGAAAGTATATAGTAACTGAATGGGGTCCCGTTTCAAACGGGAAAAACTCATGTTCGAGTTTGGGGGGTGGAAATTTAATATGGGGTTTCAAACGGGAAAAAACCCATTTTCGGGTTATGGGGCATGGGAAAAAAAGGGGGGGCGAGGGGGGGGGGGGGGTGCGGGTACGGGTGCGGGTGCGGGTGCGGGTGCGGAGTGCGTGCGGGCAGGGTGCTTGGTGGTCTCATAGTGCGGAGTGCGGGTGGGTGTATGCACGTGGGTGTGTGTGTGTGTGTGTGTGTGTGTGTGTGTGTGAGTGTGAGTGAGTGTGTGTGTGTGTGTGTGTGTGTGTGTGTGTGTGTGTGTGTCTGTGTCTGTGTCTGTGTCTGTGTCTGTGTCTGTGTCTGTGTCTGTGTCTGTGTCTGTGTCTGTGTCTGTGTCTGTGTCTGTGTCTGTGTCTGTGTCTGTGTCTGTGTCTGTGTCTGTGTCTGTGTCTGTGTCTGTGTCTGTGTCTGTGTCTGTGTCTGTGTCTGTGTCTGTGTCTGTGTCTGTGTCTGTGTCTGTGTCTGTGTCTGTGTCTGTGTCTGTGTCTGTGTCTGTGTCTGTGTCTGTGTCTGTGTCTGTGTCTGTGTCTGTGTCTGTGTCTGTGTCTGTGTCTGTGTCTGTGTCTGTGTCTGTGTCTGTGTCTGTGTCTGTGTCTGTGTCTGTGTCTGTGTCTGTGTCTGTGTATGTGTATGTGTATGTGTATGTGTGTTGTGTGTGTGTGTGTGTGTGTGTGTGTGTGTTTGTGTGTTTGTGCGTTTGTGCGTTTGTGCGTTTGTGCGTTTGTGCGTTTGTGTGTTTGTGTGTTTGTGTGTTTGTGTGTTTGTGTGTTTGTGTGTTTGTGTGTTTGTGTGTTTGTGTGTTTGTGTGTTTGTGTGTTTGTTTGTTTGTGTGTTTGTGTGTTTGTGTGTTTGTGTGTTTGTGTTTGTGCTTGTGTTTGTGTGTGTGTGTGTTTGCGTGTGAGAGCTTTTGACGGCACCGTTTGTCGAGGTTACGGGAAACCAACAGGAGAGGGGTCCAAACCCCATTTTGAAGCACACCCGTGGCAGAATCATCGCCCCCAGGAGGCAGCGGGCAGTTTGCGGCGCTCGAAGAGCGCACCAGCTCTGGGTGCTTTGATGGAGCGGAGCCCAGGCAAGCGCCGTGTAACTGAACAGGGCTCCTTAAAAGATACATTTGCAACCATTTGAAACATGGCTTTTCCCACCAAAATAAAGGTACACACCACCATTGACAAGGCAAGCTTCAGGTGTATAATGTAAGGATTTCTGCTGAAAGTGCCAGGGTGAAACCTTTGGTTCTGATGTGGTTAGTAAGATGTATGTAGGCTAATTGTGGGACTAAATCCCTACCCAGGTTGTAGAACCACCTAATGGCTTTTTCCCCAACAGCTGAAAGCTATGATATGGGATTAGGTCTCTCCCCAGAAATGGGGCTGACAAGGGGTGGTTTTGGAGCTTTCAGGGAGGGGGTTGTGGCAGGGGTTCCGGGGCTGTTGAGGAGGGCACAATGGTCTTTTGGTTGAAAGCATCGTTGATGTTCTACTCTTGTGTGATGGAGGATATGGGGACAACACACTCAAATTGCCCACACACACACACACACCAGCAACCACCACCCAACTCACGCATGAGCAGGGGCGGCTGGCCCCCCCCCCCCTTTTTTTGAAGTTAGGCGCAATCAATCTTCCCGCTCAACCAAATGCATCCATCAATCCATCAATCCGTCCATCAATCCATCCGTCCATCCATCCATCCATCCATCCATCCATCCATCCATCCATCCATCCATCCATCCATCCATCCATCCATCCATCCATCCATCCATCCATCCAATCCATCAGTCCATCCATCCATCCATCCATCCATCCATCCATCCATCCATCCATCCATCCATCCATCCATCCATCCATCCATCCATCCATCCATCCATCCATCCATCCATCCATCCATCCATCCATCAAACCATCCATCCAATCCATCAGTCCATCCATCCAATCCATCAGTCCATCCATCCATCCATCCATCCATCCATCCATCCATCCATCAAACCATCCATCCAATCCATCAGTCCATCCATCCATTCATCCATCCATCCATCCATCCATCCATCAAACCATCCATCCAATCCATCAGTCCATCCATCCAATCCATCCAATCCATCAGTCCATCAGTCCATGTTCCCCATGGAATTTGTGAGTCTCCGAGGCTGGTGGGGCTTCGGAGCCCGGAGATGTGCCTTGGCTCTCGAGCGCTCTGCCGAGTTGTGGCCGAACCCGTCGCGGCTGGCGGTTGATCCATTCCCAACCACGAGACTCATGTCCTGGGCTCATGAACTTTAGTCGCTTTTTGGGGTTGGACCATTTTTGGCCGGGGCTTCTGGTTGAAACTTCAAGAGGGAACCACCTCCAAGGTGGTTGGGGGACATGCAAATCCTAGAAGTGGTCTCCAGCCATTTACTTTAGCCCAACCGCAGTGATGCGATGGACGAAACGTGATCGAAGCGCACCAGTGATCGATGGCTCCAGATATATTCACAGGGGTGGAACCACCCCAACCGGTGAGAAGCGGATTTTGTCCAGAAGGCAATCATTCTGGAACGTACCCTTGACGCATGTTTGAGTGAAGTGTGGGATTTGTGGTTTGTGGTTTGGACCAGCTTGGGCTTTCAGCACCGGGATTTCAGCAGTTGGGAGTATTGGCGAAAAGCCACAAGCTGTCAATGAACGGACGCGGACTCAGTGATACGCACCTCATCTGGCACGCAGTTGGTGTGTCAGGACTGGAGCAGCTCTGATTCGGCGAGTGAGGACCATTCGGAGTTCGTGTGGGTGGCTCGGCTCGTCTTTTAAGGCGAAAGGTACCCCGTTTTGGTGGTTTGAAAGGGACAAACCCAACTGCAAGTTCTCCCTCCAGCCAAACCCAAATCTGGGGCTTTCCAGAGTTTTGCATGACCTCCCGCCATGCCACATTTGATGGCAGCAGTAAGGGTATGACGCTTTTGGGGGAAGCCCCCTGTTTGCTTGGTTTCAGGGCAAACCAAAAAAAGGACACCGTGGCCATTTTTTGGGCTCCTGCTTCTGCTTGGGTGTCCTTTTTAGGGACTGGTGTGGTTAGTTGGGTTCCACTGGTTTAGAACATTTTTTCCAAACCGTCACCTCGGCTATGGAGGGAAACCACGCTCAGACACCGTGCGCTGCCGGCGCAGGAGACAGCGAGCACGGCTCGTCCGAGCTCTCCAGCGAGCTCGCGTTCGGAGCATGAGGATTCGATTGGTGACATCCAAGTTTTGGAGCCATCGTTTTGATGGGAACTGCTCAGTCTTGGCATCAACTTTCGCAGATGGATGACAATGCTTGCCGCATGCGTGTAGATTTCAATCGGAGCAATGCTCGTTTGGATTGCACCGAGTGAAGCACTTGTAGTGGTGGACAGCACTTTGCACTCAGATTCTAAGCGTTGGTTTGCTGTGATTTTGTCGTGTGCCTCCATCCGACAAACTCCAGAACATCTTTGAATCTTCACACAAGTCTAAGCACTGCCCGTCAATGTAGCTGCAGTACCCTTCCGTGCAGGAGAAATCGAAGCGATGGGCGGACTGGATCGATGAGGAGACAGAGGACGGTGCGCTTCACACCCCAAGAGCCGAATTGTCTGGACAAAACGGCGAAGCTGAGAATCGTTAAACCGGGCGAAGTGTCTGCAAACGAGAGCGGTCCAAAACAATGAACACGACAGACACAGGCCGAATTTGCCAGCAACAAGAAAGCCGGCATCGACAAGCAACACCT